TTTGCACTGAGGTTATCATAACTGCTCACAGGGATGGATTTTCATTCTTTGTATTTATTTCTGGGCTTTGCAACCCTTGGATCAAGTTAAGTTTAGGTCTTTGTATTCCTCACCTAGCTGTCAGCCATTGCAGCTAGGAACCAAAGTTTATTATAATAGCTCTGAGCTTCCCATCTTCTAGTATAGGGTATAATAGACTTGGGAGTGCTAACTAAGGTATTTCTCTAGAGGGTGCAGTGGAGTTCTAAATTGGAAGTTCCAGTAGCTGGGGTTTACTTTTGGTTGACCTTTGGAGCTCTGTGGTGGGTTTAATATTTGATCCATAACCCCTGTTGCTGAGGAGATGCTGGTCATGGCTGATGTCTAGGTCTCAGGGGCCTCCAGTAAAAACAACTTTTAGGTTGTAGCAACTTACACCTCCACGGGTTTCACATTCACCACTATGAATATGAATTACCAGGAATCAGCCCTGAAGTGTAGATGCTCCTGTGTGGCTGTTATTGGCATCTTCCAAGTACCTCTTATGGAGCACCAGCAATAAAGGGAGATTTCTCTCCTTGACTTGTGCAGCCTGTATGTTCCAGGTGCAATTTTTTCTTCGCACCTATTTCAGTCAGTCTGGTTGGGACACATTCCAGGGATCATAATAGGCAAGTGCTGTGTTCCCTGGCAACTTCCTCTGCAAGTTCCCAATCTTCTGACTCCATTTGCTGCCTTGAATTACTTACAAATGGCTCCCGTGCAGGTGACTTTAGTTCTCACTGAACTATCTGCCCATGGGCAGAGCGATTTTGGTTGATTTTCACTCAACCACTTCCTCCACTGACTCTGGGTTTCTTAAGATCAGTTTCCTAATCTATAGGCTCCCCCAGGACTTTTTTTTTTACCACCATGGTTTCTTCTCTCTGTCTGCATGTGTTACACCCTCCCTTCAGCAGCCACCTCTGTGGCTATTGCCAGCCAAACTGGAGCTTCTCTGATGTATTATTTCTGATATTATTTTCAAAGTTTCTGACTTTCTGTGTCTCTCCGGTTTCTTTTACTGTCCGTTATTAAGTTTCAGTGAATTCCCTTAGTTATCTGCCTCAATCAGGAGCAGTCTTTTAAGTCTAGTGTAAATGAACTGTGAAGGAACTGATTCCTTCCTCTAATCCACCTTCTATTTGTGTGTGTGTGTGTGTCTTTCTCTCTTTCTCTTTCATGACATATTTTTAAAGTGTTGGATTTGATTTTCAAGCATCTTATTCAGGATTTTTGCATCTATATTCATTAAGGATACTTGGCTATATTTTTCTTTTTGTTCTTGTCATGTTTTTATCAAATTTTGGTGGCTTCACAGAATGAGTTTGGAAGAGTATCTTTTCTTTATGTTTTATGGACTTGTTTGAAGAGCATTGGTTTTAGTTTTTAAAAGTGGCAGGCAATTTCTTCTATCCTGAACTTTTCTTCATTGGAAGACTTTGTTACTGTATGAATCTCATTTCTTATTATTGATCTGTTTAGATTTTTTTGTATTCTCATACCTCAAATTGGGTAGGACATATGCATCTAGGAATTTGTCTACTTGATCTAAATTTATAATTATTTGTAAAATAGCTTTTCAAAATATTTTCTAGGGATTGCCTTTATGTCAGTGCTGCCTATTTTAATATCCTCTTTCCATCTCTAATTTTACATGCTTGCGTTTTCCCACTCTGTTTTTTGTCTAGTTTTGTTAAGGTGTGCCAATTCTGTTTTGTTTTGTTTTTTTTTGAAAGGAAAAACTCTTTGTTTTATTGATCCTTTCTATTGCTCTTTTTGTTCCTTATTAATCTATTTTAGTTCTGATTTTTTAGGATTTATTTCCTTTTACACAATTTAGGTTTCATTTGTTTTTGTTTTCTAGAACATTGAGGTACAATATTACATTATTTATTTGAAATTTCTCCATTCTTTTTTTAATGTGTGTACTCATAGTTATAAATGATGTTTTTACTACTGCTTTCACTGTATCCCACAAATTGTGATATTTTGTGTTTCTATTTCAATTCACTTCTATGAATTTTTTAAATTCAGGCCACAGATATTTTCAATAATCTATTGTTTATTCAAAGGTGTATTATTTAATATGCATGTGTTTGTGTAATTTCTCTGTCAATTTCAGTTTCATTATGTCATAATTTTTATATAGTAGTCCATTAAAATGCAATAAATTATTTACATTTTTTGCATTGGTTAATGCTTTCTTTAAATCCAAAACTATAATGTATCTTAGAAAATGCACAATGTGCAAATGAAATAATGTGTATTGTCCAGCTGTTGGGTGGAATACTCTAATCATGTTACAGCCACTTGATGTATACTGTAATCTAAACCTTATGTTTGCTTGTTGATGTCTTGTCTGGATGACCAGTCTATTAGTGAGAATGACATATTAAGATACCACTAGCATTTTGCTTAAGTTTATTTTCCCTTTATATCCTATAAGATTTGTTTTATAAAATTCTGTGTTCTATTACATATGCATTTATAATCATTATATCTTCAACTTACCACTATGTAGTTACCTTCCTTGTCTCTTCTGATTTTGAAGTGTGCTTTTCATATATGATCATATATGGTCACCATCATGACTAAGAAAGAAGAAAAAAACAACAATAACAGAACATAAAATTAACAGGCTACATAAATACAGTAATGATCATTTATACTCGACAACAACTAAAATAGAAGTAACCATGGATGGGGGAAAATAAATTAATAAGAGTAAAAAATTAATAAAAGAAAAATTAATTCAAGAAGGAAAATAAATAGTGGGGAATATTGGGAATGGGAAAAAGAAAAATGTATGTGAAGAAACAGAAAAATTAGAAATAAAAAAGAGAAAATCCCTTTAAAGATTTTTAAAATAAATCAATGGTAAAAAAAATAAGATATAAATAATAGTTTAATATAATAAGATATAAATAATTTAAAATGTGTCAAAAATTCTTCCCAGGTAAAATATTTACACTGGGGACACCTCTTTGCAGGTGAGCTAACATTTGAATGCAACCAGGTATGTGGGGTTAGTAGCCTACAAAAGAAACCAATTGTAGTTCCTCTCTCTTCCTACCAAATGTTCTGGGATTTGATGTGATATGCTGGCTGCACTGTGCTCCTCATTTCCTGCCATGGAGGTTAAGGGAAGGTTAATGGGGCTGGCCATCACACTACAGGGATTTTGTTAGCAAACCTGGGGAGCATTGCAAAACAGAAGTCAAAGTCACCACAAGCCATTCTTTAAGTTCTTTGTGAATCCAACAGGTGGGCACACACTGGCACACACTTGTTCCAGAGGCCTCTAGTCATTGACCATGGAAGTGTCCTAGTCATGGTAGATCCTTGGAATGCCTGTGAAAAGTGGTGTAAGCAATCAAACCACTGAGCTCCACCGTGGAGAGGGGATATGGGAATGCAGTGAACTATCAGATGTGTTCTCTGAGCTCTCTCCCCTATGTGCAAGCACATATGAATGGAATCACTCTTCTTCACAGAGGGAAGGACCACTTCCTAATGAGGCTTCCAGGGCCTTCCCTGCTACTCAATCCTCTCAGTTTGTTTGCAACAGGTACTGTCCCTATCTGAGACAGTAGAATGATAATGTTTTCTACCCCATCACTGTAGCAAGGTGACCCAGGGACCCTGAATTGACCTATATTTTCTAACCCCTGCACAGTTTATTCCCTACAATAGGCCCTTTCTCAAGATAGCTTCTGGTTATAGCACTATGAGAGCTCACTGAGCATTGTCATGAATTCTGTAAATCTCTGTTGTTGTGCAGGAGGAGTCTCTCTCAGAACAATTCCCCAAACTTGATCTAAAGCTTATAAGAACCATGTGTTTCTCCCACAACTAAGACTGCTGCTCTGCTGACACCATGTGGGTTGTCTGCACTCTCCAGCTTACCTTATGCTTGCAGGTTGCCTTCCCTCACCAGGCAGCTGAAGTTGATCTTGTAAATTACTTTGTACTTTTTTTATGGGCTGCCTTAATGCTTTTCTGGATTATTTAGAATTCTAATAATTTCTTTAATTAGTTCCAAGTCCTCTCTTTCTCTTCCTAGAATACAGTTTCCACTGTGTTCCCTGATTCTTTTCATTCTCAGAGTCACAACAAAGGTAATTCTATTCTGCAACTTCCCTCCCTCATTAAGAACTCCTATTTTTGAATAATAACAACTCCTGACAGGAAATCCAAGCCATTATTTTAAAAAGTAACATTCAATGATTCCTAGTGGCATCTGAGCAATGTCAGCATCTGACATCATATTTTTGGTAGGTTGCACAGTCTACCTAAAGTGAACACAGATTTGAAATAAAATATTCAGATCTGAACTCTGAAATGTAGAATCATTAGTGAAATATTTTGAAGGAAACCATAATCTGCCTTGTGATCCATTCATTTTCAGTCTTAATATCTATATAATTATGTATTTCCCTGGATTCATAGCGGTCACCTGAGACTTCTGATGATCTCATCCCCATTTCTTACTCCATCTGCTGTGCTCTCATTCTTCCAAATCTCAAACCATTGACACTTGAGCATGCATGCTTTATTAGAAACCATTTCAGATGCTGGCACATTACATTGAATCTCAGAGATCATTCACCAAAAAAAATTTAAAAAAAGATACTTTCAACTTCTCAAAGTAGGAATCCTGACATTTCTAGAAACATTTTATCACACCTTATGAAGAACTCTACCAACAACAACTTTACCTCTGACAGGACCTAACTTCTACTTGAGACTATTTATTAGATTACAATGAGTTTAATTCCTTTTTTTTTTACACAATTAATTTTCCTACTTGTTTTGGTAGGAACTGAGACCTAGTTGCTGCCCAGATATGACAATGCCATGTCTTACCCAGCAAACTCTGCATTCTGAAAGCTTAGTTTGTGGGAGGGAGTAGAACCCTTCTCATTCTCTTTGTAAATGCAAACCTTGACATGATTCTTTCTCCTCAGAGACTCCACAGCTCCGCCTGGTGGATGGTGGCAGTCGCTGTGCAGGCAGAGTGGAAATTCTTCACCAGCATTCCTGGGGCACTGTGTGTGACTTCAGCTGGGACTTGAATGATGCCCATGTGGTGTGCAGACAAATGGGCTGTGGTGAGGCCCTCAATGCCGTGCACGAGGCACTCTTTGGGGAGGGATCAGGGCCCATCTGGCTGGATGACCTGAAGTGCACAGGAAAGGAATCCCATGTATGGAAATGCCCTTCTCTAGGCTGGGGGCAACACCACTGCACACACAAGTTGGACGCAGGTGTCATCTGCTCAGGTATGGCCAGTGAATTCCCCACTGTACTGGATAATAAAAGTTCTAAATAAGTGAGTGTCTTACCCTTGGGGGAGTAGGAAATGAACAGTCCAAGGAGGACAGAGAGGTTCTTTCACAGACCCTGAGTGTTCAAAATAGCTGCAAATGACGGGCTTCATTTGTCTCCCTTCTTGTAAACTTCAAATATTATCCTTTCCTTTCTCAATTCTCTTTCTTGATAAGATGGGTTTGTTATAGGATTATTCCACTTACAATCAATCTTCATAATTTTGTTTCTCTAATTTACTATTTTTAGGATTACACATAAATTACCATATACACCCAGTTTACAGCACTTTTCAAAAGACATGCAAAAATGAGGCTCTATTTTTCTCAGTTTAATTGAGTGTTTATATATGTATAGCCATAGCCAGAGATATTTTTGCACTGGGTTAATAGGTTTATGGGCACAGGGCTGGGATTGAACACCTCACAGGAGAATTTTGGATTACTGCAAAGTTGTAATTCTCCTTTCCAGATTCAGACTTCAGAATTCTTAACACATTGGCAGGAAAAGCCAAAGAACTGTGAATGAAATGCTCTGAGTCACAGGCTTTCCTTATTACTATAGTAATATTACTACAGTAGATTTTCTCTACATTTCCTTTTAAAAGCAACATCTGTTTAAACTCATACTTAGAAAGGTTAATGTAACCCAGCCCTGGCTAATCAATGTTGAATGCCATAAAATATTAATGCATGTTTATTACGGTAAGATATCATGTAGTTTAGGACCAGGATATTTATTCAGTGATCTCCCACAAATAACACTGAGTAAACTGCTATTCACACACCAAACTAGCTTGATATGAGACAATAAACCAGGTGAGTACCTGTTTTAGTATATTAAAAAGAAAGACATATTCAAAAGGGAGGAAGATTAAAAGTTTCCAACCTCAAGCAGCCCAGCATGAAGAGAGATGCATCCTTCTTGTGGACTGGAAAAGAAATTAAGCTCAGGCCATGGACTTAAAATCTGGGACAAGTCCTGCCAGAATGAAACCTGGTGCCCTGAACTGTCCAACACTGGTTGCTATACCAGTGTGTTCAGACTGAGAATCTGGAACTGTGTTTAGTCAGGTAGCAAAGAGACTGTCTCCACCACCACTCCTCCAAGCTGCCTTGGCAGAGGGGGAAGCAAGACTCCACTTGCTAAGGAGCAGGGCACAAGGCTGGCACAGGACTTTGTCTTGGAGCTCAGTGCCAGGCCCACCATAGTGATACTCAGCACTCTTTAAGAATTAGGGACAGCTCACAGGCAGAGCAAAACCTATGTGCTGGTTCAACAGACTCAAGAAGAACCTGAGGCTGGTTGCAGGAGTCTTGGTCCATCAGTCCACTTCAACAGTAGGCAGCTCATAGCATTGAGGGCCTTGGTCCCTCCCCAGTTCTATGTTGCCTTGGCAGGCTGTGGCCTCAGTGTGTGACAGCATTGCAGTGTTGGTGGCCATAGGACCACCCTCCTCGTTGCTTCCCAAAGCCCCAGACAGCACACTATGAATAAAGTAGAGAGTTTAGTCTCTGTTTGGGGCTAAAAATTTAATTGGGCACCTAGATTTGACCTGGAGACTTGGGCTCTTTACATATTATAATACAGCTCCCAAAGATGAAAGATAGAGTCTCAAGCAATCAAAAAGAAACAAACACATAGGAATGGCCTAATTCACCTGATGACAGGTTTCTCACAGAAAACATATAGACCAGAAGTAAGTGCCATGAGATTTTCATAGAGCTGAAAGTAAAACCTGCCAATCAAAAATACAAAACACAGCAAAACTATCCTTTACAGACAAAGGAAATATAAATACATTATAAGAGGGCCCTCCCAAAAATAATTACCATATAATATAGCAATCCATGGCTGAGCATATATCCAAAGGAAATAAAATCAGGATGAAGAGATATCTATACACCAATGCTTATGGTAGTTCTACCGACAGTAGCTAAGAAATGGAATTAAGTGCTTAAGACCTTGTGTGTAAGGTGGGGAGGGAATCTACATTTGTGTGAATCCTAAGTGTCCATCAACTGATAAATGGATAAATAAAATGAAGTAAATTTACACAATGCAATACTCTGTAGGACAAAAAAAAAAGAATGAAATCCTTTTATTTACTACAGCATGCATTGACCTGGAGATCATTATGTTTTGTGAAATAACTCGGGCAAAGAAAGAAGAGTGCCTTATAATCACACTATATGTCAAATCTAAAAGAGTTGACCATATTGAATTTGAGACTGGAATTGTGATAACCACAGGCTGGAAAGCACAGAGGATGGAAATAGAAGGCTACAGATTGACAAATGAATAAGAGTTTTTGCTTAGATAGGAGCAAGAAGTTCTGATGCACCACTGCACTGGAGGGTGACTATAGAAAAAATAATAAACTACATTTCAAAAAGCCATAAGAAAGCATTTGGAAGTTTTCAACAAAAATAAATAAAGTGTGTGAGGAAACACAGATAACACAATGTATACATACACAAGCACATCTATTTACCCATTGAAATGTATATTATTTGTGTTTTTAGGTATCAGTTCAAATAAATTTAAGGGAACAAAAAGAAAATGAGAAGAAATGTGGGGGAAGATTATATAGTTTACATCTGATGGGTTCAATGATACAAGAAAAGTACATTGGGAGGTAAATTTGAAAACAATGGGAACAAGGAGATAAACCAAATTTTTTGAAGATGGAGAAAGCTTACAGTATCTGGTGGATGGCAAAACAAGGGTGACAAAGAGCACATAAGGATTATCTGAGCCGTGCTTAAGAATCTAGGTGTAAGGTGGGGACGGAATCTGTTTACATTTGTGTGAATCCTGTACACATTAGCTGTACAAAGTGAGAAAAATGATTTGCAAATGTGACTCACAGTTGTGGCATTGAGGTCAGAATAGGTGAAGAAAAGTTCCCATGAATGACACATTTTTGAGAAAATCAAAACATTCCCAAGGAAGCAATGTGTTTATGTAGCAAAAGATCAGACAAGGGAAAACTTTGACTGTAATTTTCAATTTGCTCCAATGAGAATGATTCATGTACTTCAATATACTTCTGCAGATGGAATTTTACTTTCTTTTTCTATACAGGTCTCATAAATTTTTCCTATAACTTGAAACTTTATGTCCTCACTAGATGTGAACCTTCACAAAGATAAGAATATTATTTCCCTGAAATATACATATCCAGAACCAAAAAAAAAATGTTTCTAGAACATGCCAAGTTTTGGTATGTTTTGAATAAGAAAACATAGAAGGAGACTCTCAAAATAGCCTTTATATACATATTTCCTACATTAGGACTATGAAGGAAGTTTAGATTGTGTCTTCTTTGAAGACCTCTCTGCCTCATTTTTATCCTTTTCCAGTCAGAGGCATTTTTAACCATACTGGGCTTCCAGTGGCCACTCTCTTTTTCCCTGCTGTGCCTTGATGGGCAGGTCATGATACCACCTCTGGCTTTCAAAGTGACTGGGAAGCCCAATGATACAAGGAAAGTTTGGTCTTTGAGGAAGATACTTGAAATTTATGGATTTCTGCCTGGCCAGATACAATGACTGATGGAGACATTCCCATGTACTCTGTTTAGGGTGACACCGTTCTGTGCCCTAAACAGAATAGTAGGATTGTGGAGTGATAGACGAGGAGATCGGTGGGTACAGAAATGAGGCTTATGGACTCAACATTGAATATTATATTTAAACTTTGTGTTTCAAAAAAGCCTCAGTTAGATTTGCTTCATGATATGTCTCAAAATTCAAAAAAAGAAGCTTCTGATATAAATGCTATTTAAAACTCAGAGGGAGAGATGCATGTCAATTCTTTCAAGAGACTTGAAAAATGACCATTCTGGGTAAATTCTACCAATTTAGACCTCTTAAATAATGTTCAAGCCTTCATATAGGTTTTCCTCGTGATTCAAGAAGAAGGTCTATTCTGAATAAATAATTGATAATTATGTGTTCATACTCTAGTGGCCCAAATGAATCAACTTCAACATTCAGACCTCTGGGATTTTGTGACTATAGATTGTTCAGACTGAATAATAGGTTCCATATGGCATATTAATTTTTTGTTTTGTTTGTTTTGTTTTTTGGGGTACTGGAGATTAAACTCAGGGGTGCTTAATCATTGAGCCACATTCCCAGCCCTTTTTGATATTTTATTTAAAGACAGTGTCTCACTAAGTTCCTTAGAGTGTCACTGTTCTGAGGCTGGCTTTGAAGTTATGATCCTCCTGCCTCAGTCTCCTGAGCCACTGGAATTACAGGCATATGCCACTGCACCCTGCACACATTAGTTTTATTTGAACATATATTTTGTATAAGCAAGAAAGGTGCACAGAAAAGTAGACAATAAAATGGTGGTACTATTTACCTCAACCATCTGGTAATGCAGATGAGTAAGGGAAATCATTTTTTATCTCCAAATCCCTTTATACTATTGACATATTACCAAAACTGGCATGTATTTTTGCAAATAGAAGTAATGAGGATTTCTAAACCACTATGATATAAGAAATGCCTACTTAGCTGAAGAACTATGTAGACCATAAAAATACCTACATCTGGAATCAATGGATCTGGAATTACAGAAGAATGTATACCTGCTCCTGAACCACACTTTGACTATTCTATTTATATTTTATATATTTTATATATTTATATTATATATATTTTGACTATTCTATTTATATTTTATATATTAAATGCAACAGAGTAATTCAACCCCTAAGAATAACAAGTGGGGATCATCTCTGTATAGATGGTAGCTGACTCTAATTTGTACAAGTATTTTTTAAAATAAAATGATTAAAGGATTCTGGATGTATATTAGTTCATTAAAAATGCCTAGAAAATTATAAATAATTAATATAGTTTTAAAGATGAATTAAAATACTGTTGAGTTTGCAACAATACTGCCCTCTGAACACCTCAGGATCTGTTCAGCACAATGACAGATGCTCAGTTAATCGTATGAGTACATGTACTGAATGAATTTTGCTCTTCACCCCCTCAGAATACAGTTGGATTAGGTCTCTCTGACCTGTAAAGAGTAGAAGAGTAAAGGTGAAATCTGAATTGGATGATCTATTTCTTTATTTGAAATGTTTCTATTTTCATTAATGAAAATTATGCAAAAGTTCTTCACAAAGTTTTGATATTGCAATAGAAATATCAATATCTTCTTAGTCCAGTGCCTAAGAAAAACATTCCCATATAACATTTCAACTGAATGACACTATAATCAGGTATTCCACTGAATTCTATAAGATAGAACTCAAAATTAATGTTATTCTACCTTTATTGAGACATTCTATATCTTGGGAGCTAGAAATATATCATATACAATGAAAAACAAGAAAATGAAAAATAAGTAGTGTTTCTGCAGACAAATTTGTGTATCTAATTGATCCAGAACTATAATCAGTCATGCACAACTCATGGTGGTGACGGTGTTAATCCCTAGTGTGGAGATGTAACTAAGTGGAAACCAGAATCTACACAGAAAAACATCTGGCTGCATCCACAGGCAGAGACTATAGTGATAGTTTCTGTTCTGGAGACTGATCTTTATTGTTCCTGTCACTGGACACCAATATTGATAGCTGATTTTTATGATGCCCTGCAGAAGTCTCATGCTTTTTAAAACATAACATCCTAAAGTAGAGTGATTTCATTTTGAAATTTTGTATTTTTATTGTAACTTTATAAGTAAGGTAGATTGTCATCACTCCTCTGTAATAATGATATAAAATAAAATGACCTTGTAGTCACAAGGTCACAAATCCACACTTGATATTAATACATCAGTTTCAGAGAGAAATGAAAGTATTCTAATTATAATGCTTTAAGTAAAAATTTTAATAAAATTGATTAATGCTTTGATGTTTGTTCCATTTTGAAGATCTACTTTGGAAAAATAAACACTGATCATATTATTCTTTTCAGCAAGATTTCTCTGCAGAATTTCTTCACCACATAAACTTACTATTACATAACTTTTCCATACTTGTGGTGGGATGCCTGCCCAAAGGTCTAAACCTACACTTAAAACCCCTTCTTGATCAGCTTTGATAGAGATCTAATGGCTTCTTCCAACTCTACTTATTAATAACAAAATAATCCCTCAAAACAAAATAAAACAAAAAGGCAAAAAAATGCTCAAATCTCTTGATAAATTCTTTTTTTAACTTATCATTCTTCTAAATTTTTCCCCTATCTTCATTAATAGGAAATATGATGTAAAGAACCCTGATTATTTTAGTCAAGATAACCTGGATTCATCTCATTCTCACACTATTTACTGGACTCTTTCCTCATGCCTAAATGGGAAATAAATATAAATGTTCAATTTTTTTATACATATTGAATTTTTTTCACTCATTAACAAATGTTAACTTAGTTGGAATTTTTTAATGAATAAAGTTTTTGAGAAGAAAATAGTGAAAATTAAGCCTAGTCTTTTTCTACTTGATTTCAAATTCAGTGGGTAGATATAGCTCCTATAAAAATGGAGGTAGAAGAGAAAGATATATAAACAAACACACAGGTATCTTTTTAATATGAAGGATAATATGTTCATACAGAAGAAAATAAAAACACACATATTACAACCACACAAACACACACGTACGCAAACACAAACATATATATATGATATATATGTTATATATAGATACATATAAAGATAGATAGATAGATAGATCTTTATTTATTGAGTCAATAATTCAGAACTGACCTTTTAAATTTCTCCTCATAAATTTGTGTTCACACACTTGCTCAAGAAATTCACATTTTGGTACCAACTATTGAACACCTTCACCACACCCTGGGGGAAAAGAAAGCTCTCAAGCATTGCCTGTGACATGTAGCTCCCAACTCCAAGATATGGTACTCATTTTGTTACTTACTTTCTTCCACAGGATTTGTGCGTTTGGATGGAGGAGGTGGACCCTGCTCTGGGCGAGTGGAAGTGAATTCTGGGGGAGGATGGATTCCAGTATCTGATGGGAATTTCACCTTCCCCGTGGCCCAGGTCATCTGTGCAGAGCTGGGGTGTGGCAAGGCTGCACGTGTCTTGGGGAACCTGCCCTTTAGAGAGGACAGTGAACAGGTCTGGGTTGAAGAATTCCAGTGTAAAGGACAGGAGCCTGAGCTCTGGTTCTGCCCCAGAGTACCCTATCCTGGAGGAAGATGTCCCCAGAGAGGAGCTGTGCAAGTTGTCTGCTCAGGTGAGACTCACAACAGGATGTTAATCTCCCTATGCACTCTCGGGAGGGGGGGGGGGGTAAGAAAAATGTGTGATGTTGCTAAAGCCCTGTCTTCTACCAGGATATACAGATGTTCGGCTCATGAAAAATGGCAGCTCTCAGTGTGAGGGTCAAGTGGAGATGAAGACCTCTGGAGGCTGGAGAACACTCTGTGCCTCCCACTGGAATATGGCCAATGCCAATGTTGTCTGCCGTCAACTGGGCTGTGGAGTCGCCATCTCCACCCCAAAGGGAGCATACTTTGTGGAAGGAGGAGATGAGATCTGGAGAGACCGATTTCACTGCTCAGGGTCTGAGTCCTTCCTGTGGAATTGTCCTGTGACTGCCCTGGGTGTTCCTGCTTGTGCCCATGGAAACACAGCCTCTGTGGTCTGCTCAGGTAAGAGAGATCAGCGCTGACTGGTATTAGAGTGATGTGTCTTTAAGAGCAGACAGTATTAATACATGACCATGTATTAATAAATTCAAGTGGTATTGAGATTTGATGCTTGTTGACTTCTCAAATAATGATCCTACATATTATCATGATAATAGTTTTTGGTGCATATATGTATGTATTAGTATATGGTTTTTAACTCTTGTCCTTTTACTTTCACTCTCTTTAATATGATCTTTCAAATGTCAAGTATTGTTCTTAATGAAGCACAGCTTATCAACATTTTTTGTACACGAAATAGAACTTTTCTACCATAAGATCATAAAGATATTCACTAAGGATGTGTTATACATGTTTAATTACTTTTCTTTTGCATGTAACTGTTATACATTTAGGGTTGATATTGTAAGGGTGTGTATGATGTGAAGAAATTGGCTCTGGCCTTTATTTAAAGGAGAGTACATTAATGGCAGGAATAAGGCTCTGGCAGGTGGAGTCTTTCTTCATGGTGGCTTGCAAATAACAGGTTGATTGGAATCTTGGCAAGCCCCACCCATCTCTGAGAGGCTGTGTGGCTATGTGGCTCCAGCAAGTCACCCCATCTCCTGTGCTGTGTGGAACCTATGGCAAATCTAGGTAGGAATTCTCACGTATTGGGCAGTCTTAATAGCAGGAGTGCCACTGAGAGTTCCCAGACTTTCCTACCCACTGGCTTCCATGCCAGTTGGGGTCATGCACATCATGGGTGACTTCTGAGATTCAAACATAATTTATGAGTTGAAATAAGTCTACAAAATATGAATGAATGAATTCTACAAAATGAATACTGGATAGAGATTACTTGATTCAGTTCTTGCAATCTTGTTTCAAAGGCATATGTGAGGAAGCCTGCAATCATAGCAATTTATGAAAAAAGTATCAGAGAGACTGAACAGAGAATATGGGAGCATGAAGTTATACTCAGATAAATTTTCTAAGCATTTGGGTAACACAGTCTTGTTATATTAATTAAACTGTATTTCCTTAGTAAGAGGGTGAATGTTTGCACCACACTTATTGTACACACACCATGCATAAAGTGAAATGACATGAGGCATGGTAGGTGCTGTAGAAATATGTACATTGAGTAAGAGAAAATTCATATTTAAGTTAAGAACTAAAGAAGGAGTAAAGGTCCAATGCAGGAAGAAGTAGAGCATTTGGTCAGGGTAAATACTGAGGTGGGAGGAGCATAGTGACCTTGAGGTACTGATAAATCCCATAATGAGCAGAGCAGGAGGAGGCTGGGAAAGAGATGCATGATTAGTATATAGAGCTAGAGGCCTCTCCAAAGAATAAGTATAAGAAGAGCTGGAGGCCTCTCCAAAGCATGGGCCCAATAAAAATCCTGTTTAAAAACTGTTATTCTTCTCATCTGACATATCATGGGGGAGTGCTGTGAGATGAGGAACCTTGATTACCCTTATTTTCACCTTGAATGTAATCTCCTCACAATCCCAGAGGTCTTGGTTTATACTACCTCCTCTGAGCCTTTATCCATATGCTACCGCAGACTAATATGCCCACTTCATCCCTCTCCCAGAAAACATTCCATGGGGCCTGAAGGAAATGAGAGCCTAACATCTTCTAAATTCTTAATAATTGTAATGTCCCCTTCAGTTTTATGTTCTCACAAAAATCTGGCTGTCCTCTGAAAACAATGATTTCCTTATTATTTAAAGGTTCTGCATTTCCCTTTCAACATACATTTCTTTTCTTTTTTCTGACCAACTCATTGAATATTTCTATTTTCAACAATTTATTTTCTTTTAATCCATGTTCAGCTACTTTAAATTTGCCCCATGTAAGTTGGTGCCTCTCTCCAGCCTGGTCACTCCCCTCATCCAGGAAGGCTGAAGTACCAGGCTCACCAGGCTCCTCTGTCTCCTGTTCCTGGTGCTGCCAGCATCCTTGAACACAACTGAGATAACATCCTGGCCTCTCCGTTAATGACTTTCGCCCTTTGAAGCACTCCTTCACACTCCATCTCCTTTTATGGCCACACTATTGACCATCACTAACTGTCCAGCTTGAGATATTGATTGAATTGTTTATTTCCCTAACTATTGCCTCTTCTCCTTATAGCATATATTCTTGATGCTCCTTTTCCAAATAATTCATCCTTGTGCAAACTCCAAATGTTTTCCCTTATCAGTTTCCCGTTTTCCACTCTTCTCGTGGTTGCGCATGTTCTTCTTACCCCATTAGACAACATAATGTCCTATTATAATCCTCCCCCTACAAGTACACTGAACTCCTTGGTTTCTCTCAAAGACAATAATAATATTACCTCTCAGTTAATTCTATCATGGGATTAATTCACTGATTGGGTTGAGACTCTCATAACCCAGTCATTTCTCTTCTAAAACTTCTCGCATTGTCTCATCAGGAGCTTTTGGGGGACACCTCACATCCAAACCATAACGTCCACCAAGTCTTGAGCAGGGCTAGGTCATGGCTACATTAAGGTACAAACTCACTCAAGTGGCTGAAGGTATAGCTCAGTGGCAAAGCACATCCAACATGTTTGAGGCTCTTGGTTTAATCACCATCATACCTCAGAAAGAAGAAATGAATAACAGCAGTATTTAACACATAAACATAAATCAGCTATATAAATACAGTAATAATCAAATACACTAATAACAACTAAAAAGCAGTAAATAGATAAAAGGAAGAATAAATGTAGAATGTAAATTAATAAAAGGAAAATTAATTTAAAAAGAAACATTGCAGAAAATACAAAGAAAAAAAGGGAAATTAAAAACTAAGAAGAAAATTATTTTATTAAAAAAGATAAGAAAGAGGGCTGGGGATGTGGCTCAAGCGGTAGCACGCTCGCCTGGCATGCGTGCGGCCCGGGTTCGATCCTCAGCACCACATACAAACAAAGATGTTGTGTCCACTGAAAACTAAAAAAATAAATAAATATAAAAAAAAAGATAAGAAAGAGAAAAATCCATTTAAGGAATTTTAAAATGCACTAACTACATAATAGTAAGGAAAATATAAAACTTTATAAATTGAAAAAGAAAAAAATTACTTAAAATTCCTTCCATACAAAATACTTGCATGCAGAGAACTCATTCCTGCTCATTTAACATTTAAATCCACCAGATATGTGGGGTTAGTAGACTAAAAATGAAACCAGTTGCTGTTCCTTTGAGTTCCCATCAAAGTGAGCTAGAATTTAGTTTGAAATGCTGGCTGCACTTTGCTCCTCATTTCCCGCCCTAGAGATAAATGGAATACTGATGGGGCAGGCCATAATCATGTTGGAGGGGTTCTGTTTGCAAATGGGAGGGGGGGCATAGCAAAAGTCAAAGGCACCACAAGCCCTTCCTTCAGTAGTTTGTGGACCCAACTGGTAGGCACACACTATGCCAAAGCCTCAGGCCCATGGGGGCATGCCCAGTGCCCTAGCATGGCAAATCCCTGGAATGCCTGTACAAAGTAGTGTAAGCAATCAAACCACTGATCTCCACCTTAGAGGTGGACATAGAAATGGGGTGAATCACCAAATTGATATCTGAGTTATCAGACATGGCCTCAATGTGCAACTGTATAAGACTGGTCACTCCCCCTCATCCAGGAAGGCTGAAGTACCAGGCTCACCAGGCTCCTCTGACTCCTGTTCCTGGTGCTGCCAGCATCCTTGAACACAACTGAGATAACATCCTGGCCTCTCCATTAATGACTTTCGCCCTTTGAAGCACTCCTTCACACTCCATCTCCTTTTATGGCCACATGAACCACGTATCAATGAGACCGCAAGTCCCTTCTGTGCCACTATCTCAGTGTGTTTCTGTCAGTCACTCTTCCTATCCGAGACTGAGGTGGTCACTCTTCCACCCTGTCACTGTGGAGGAGTCACCCAGAGATACTGAAGTCTGATTAATCCAAATTTTATAATCCCAGCACAATTTAGCCCCTACAATGGGGCTAAAAGAATGCCTTCTCAAGATGGCACCCATTACAGCATTCTGAGAACTTGTTGAGCAATATGATCAATTCCTTCTCTAAGGCTTCCTTGTTCTGGAAGAGAAGTCCTTCTAAGAACAACTCCCCAAACTTGATCTTAAGCTTGTAAGAATCATGTGTATCTCCCACAGGTAAGATAGTTGAAGTTATAAATTGCCTTGTACTTTTCTCTGGGATGCCTTAATGCTTCTCCATATCATTAACATTTTTCATCATTTCTGTATTGGTTCCCAGTGTTCTTCCTCTTTCTCTTCTCAGAATACAGTTTCCCCTGTGTTCCCTGCCTCTTTTTACTTACAGAGTCACAAAAAGGGTACTTCTATTCTGCTATTTGCCTCCTCATCAAGAACTCCTGACAGGAAGTCCAATCACAGGCTAGATATATTTGGGGGGAAAGTAACATTCTATGATTCCTGGTGGCATTTGGGCAATGTCACTACCTGACATCATCTATTTGGGGAGGTTGCCCAATCTACAAATTAAACACAAATTAATTTTCCATATTTGAACTATGAAGCCTAAACTCATTAATGAAATATATTGCATTAACTCTGATTTGTCTTATGATCCATTCATTTTTCAGTCTTAATGGCTATCTAATTGCATTTTTTTCCTGGATTCATGGCTGTCAACTAAAACACCTGATGATCTTATCTCCATTTCCTACTCCATCCCCTGTGCTCTCATCCTTCCAAATCTCAGGCCATGGGTACTCAAGTGTATGTACTTTATGAGAAACCAATTCAGATATTGGCCTATTATACTAAATCTTAGAAATCATTAAGAAAATACACTTTGAGCTACTCCATTTCTCCAATTGTTTTGCCACATCATATGCAGAAATCTACCAATAACAAGTTTTACTCTGATAAGATCTACATCACTTCTACCTAAGACTACTCACTTGATTACGTTGTGTTTAATTCCATTTCTTAATTTTTCACAATTAATTCTCCAACATGTTATGGTAGAAACTGAGACCTAGCTGCTGCCCTAGTATAATGGATGATCCATATCTTATACAGCAACCTCTTCATTCTGAAAGTAATTCTGCAAACTGCTTGGAGGGGGAGAGAGTACCACATGACAAGAGAACCCCTCTCACTCTCTTTGTAAAAACAATCATTGACACGATTTTTTCTCCTCAGAGACTCCACAGCTCCGCCTGGTGGACGGGGGCAGTCGTTGTGCAGGCAGAGTGGAGATTCTTCACCAGCATTCCTGGGGTACTGTCTGTCACAATAGCTGGGACCTGAATGATGCGAATGTGGTGTGCAGACAAATGAACTGTGGAGTGGCCTTCAATGCCTTGCTCTATGCACAATTTGGAGAGGGATCAGGGCCCATCTGGCTGACAGACATGGCTTGCACAGGGGAGGAGGACTCCTTATGGAATTGCCCTGCCCTGGTCTGGGAAAAGAACAACTGCGGGCACTCTAAAGATGCAGGAGTCATCTGCTCAGGTATGGTCAGTGCATTCTCCACTACCTAAAAGAATGGAAATTGCCAGGAAATAGTGTCTGATCCCTGGGGGAACAGGAGATGAATTGTCCAGAGAGGACTAAGAGGTCATTCCCTCAATTAGTGGAATCAAGGATAGCAGCGAATGATGGATTTCATTTATAAAATGAAATTCTATAAGTTTCATTTTGTCTTGTAAATCTCTAATAGTGTCATTTCACTACTCACCACTATTGTATGACAAGATATTTTTTGTAGAGTATTTCAACTTAAAATCAATCTGCATAATTTTGTTTCTCTAATTTACTATTTTTAAGATTAGCACACAAGTTAGCATACACACTCTGTTTGCAGTGATTTTCAAAGAACAAACAATAATGAGGCCCTACTTTCCTAGGTTGAATTGAGTGTTTGTAATGTAGAGTCATAGATATTTTTGCACTGGGTTAGTAGGTATATAGGCACAGGGATTAAACACATCACAAGGGAATTTATGGGCTACTGGAAAGTTGCAATTCTCCTTTCCAGATTCAAACATCACAATTCTTAATTTATTGGTAGGAAGGGCCAGAGAACTGTGAGTGAAATGTTCTGAGTCACAATCCTTCCATCAGTACTACAGTAGATTCTCTCAACATTTCTGTTTCAAGCAATTTCTATATAAACTCATATTGGGTGTGGTGAGCCGCTTCTGCCGTTTCTGCAGATTATGGTCGCCATTACAAGATGACGCTGGCTCCGCTGTGGTCTGTGACAAACAACTTCTTATCTGGGAAAGTTGGCACATGATTTTTCACCACCCTGTGAGAAAGCTCCACGCGGCAGCTTTGCATTGGGGCTTGGGATGCTTTATTAAGGCTGGGAGGGGCATCCGAGGGAAAGAAGAAGAAATATCAAGGGCCTGAATAAACTGCTGAAAGAAGATTCCCGAGTTGCGTCTTCCTTGCGGGCAAGGGGTCGCGACAATTGGGAGGTAAATTTAACACTGTGCTCCTAGATCAATGTTGAAAGCAATAAAATATTAATGCATGTTTTTTATGGTAAGAGATCATGTAGTTTAGAACTCAGATCAAGATAGTTATTAAGTGATCTCCCACAAATACACCACATAAACAGTTTTTCACACACCAAACAACTTGATAGGAGAAAATTAACCCAGTATATGAAAAGAAAAGAAACCAGGTAAGTGCCTGCTTTTATGATGATAAATATAAAAAGGAGTACTGAAGGAGAAGGGAAAATAGGAGTTGCCCTTTCCCATAATCCAAGCAGCCCAGTGTGAAGGAAGATGCATCCTTCTTGGGGAGTCTCAAGCAATCAAAAGAAATAAACAACACATAAGGGTGTCCTAACTTACTTGACAGTGAACTTCTCAACAGGAAATATGTAGACCTGAAGTGAGTGCCATGAAATTTTCATAGAACCAAGGGAAAAATCTGCCAATCAAAAATACAGAATACGGCAAAACTGTCCTTTACAGAGAAATACAAAGACATTGTCAGATGACTCCATAAAAAGTTAACATATAATGCAGCAATTCACTTCTGAGCATATATCCAAAGGAAATGAAATTAGGATGTTGAAAAGACATCTGTACTCCCATATTTATGGCAGTGCTACTGACAGTAGCTAGGAAAGGGAAACAATGTAAGTGTCCATCAACTAATACATGGATACAATGAAGTACATTTACATAATGGAATACTCTTCATCCAAAAAAAGTGAAAAGTAAAAAGGAATGAAATATTTTATTTGCTGCATCATGCATGGCCTGAAGATCATTAGGTTAAGTGAAATTAGGCAAAGAAGGACAAGGTTCTTCTGATCTCACTATTCATTGAATCTGAAAGAGTTGACCTCATAAAAGTTCAGAACATTAGACTAGGATTGTGATTACCATAAGCTGTAACGTGTAGGGGCTATAAATGGAAAGCTTTCGATTGATCAATTAGTAATAGCCTTTACTTAGATACGAACAAGAAGTTCTGGTGCACCATTGCACAGTAGGAAGACTATAGATAACAGTAATGAACTTTTTTTCAAAAAGCCAAAAGAGAACATATTAGAAATATATACATCAAGAGATCTATTTACTCTATTAATAGGTATACTATTTATGTTTGGGCATCAATTAAAATAAATTTAATTTAAATGAAAAAAAGGAGAAAATGCTACAGTTGAAAAGATATGGGGGAAGTTTATATAGTTTATATGCAATGGATTCAATAATATAAGAGAAATGCATTGAAAGGTAAATTTGATAAGAATGAGGATAATGGAAGAAATAAAACTTTTAAGGGAGACAGAGGAAGTTTAAAGTGTCTGGGGAATGGAATGGCATTGGAGGGTTGAAAATATTACATAAATATTATCTGAGTAGCACAGAAGACAGTGGTGTATTGACTCTGTAATCTGTGTAAATTCTGTACACCCTTGCTGTGTCAAAAAAGAATAATTTGTAAGATTGACTCAATGTTGAGATATTGAGGTTAAAATGAGGGGAGAAAAGGCCCCATTGATGACGTCTTTTAAAGAAACTTGAAACTTGCCCAAGGAAGCAATGTGTCCTTGAAGCAAAGAATCAGACAAGGATATATCTGACTGTAAATTTGAATTTACTCTAGTGAGAATGATTCATGTGAATCAGTGGACCTCTACAGATGCAATTTTTCTTTCTTTTTCCAACCAGGTCTCTCATAAACTTCAACTGTTTGGTTTTATCTGCATTGTTTCCTTGAAATATATATACATTCAGCACCTAAAAACATTTCTGGAACTTGGCAAATTCTGAAAAGACATTAGTACTTCAAATTAGAAAACATGGAGGCAGATTCTCAATTTCTCTTCAAATACCTCTCTCCTGTATCAGGCCAGGGTTGGAAGTTTAGATTATGTCTCCTTTGAAGCTCCTCTGCCCCATTTTATCTTTCCTGATTACAAGCATTTTTGCTCATTTCTGCGGTCCCTTAACCACTCTCCTTTTCTCCCGCTATCCCTCAAAGTGAAAGTCATGATGCCACTTTGGCTTTCAGAGATGACTGAGAAGCCCAAGAGAATAAGGCAAGTTCAGTCTTCAATGAAGATACTGGAATTATGTGGACCTCTGCCTGGCCAAATATCACATCTGATGGTGATGTTCCCATCTACTCAGGTGACATGGTTCTGTGCCCTAAAGAGTATAGTAAGATTGTGAAGTCATGGGTGAGGAAACAGATGGATGCAGAATCAAGGCTTATGATCAAAACCCTAGAGAACTGGTTGTATGCAGATGAGTCCCAGCTACAGGCAGGGTGGAGGAGGCAATCTTGGTCTTAGTGGAATAAATAAAGGGTAATCTTGATGAAAGATGTTGGAAATCAATCCTGCCACCCTGCCTCTTTTGTTTAACTGGATAGATTTGAGCCCAAAAGTTCTAATAGTGATGAGAGGTGAGAGAGGCCATTACCACAAGATGAAAGAGCCCTAGTTTTGTAAAAGCTGGAATGTGGAGAATTGGGGATCTACCAGGACCTGGCACAGGTACACAAAGAGTAGTTTCCTGAAGACCAGGTTTCTACACACCCTCCTGGGACTTGATTGAAGTGTTTTTGCAAACAAACCCAGTTTGTAAAGTAGAGGCCACCTCTGTGAAATAAGAGTAGAGATGAGGCACCAAAGGCACACAATATATCCCTGCTGTTGAAGACATGGAGTGGGGATTCAAAAAGGGAGGGAGCTGAAGCAAGAGGAGCTATCCTTGAGAGGCATAAATGAGGTCCCAGTGGAAAGATCTGGATGACACCATATGTCTAACCTCTAATAAGTCACTTACTCTCCCCAGGTTCTGTCTTCTCTGTCAAGACATAAGGACATAAGCACATAATTATCTTTGACAGCATATCATTTTTAGTAACTTTTAACACATTTAACACTGTCAACAGCATTTATCACTATGGATCTTTAAACACAGCCATGAAAAAGGCCATTATGTTGAGGTATTTAGGAGAATTTATTGGAGATATTTACTGGAGAATTCAGATAGACAGATTTAATAATGGAAATTGAGACTTGAGAATGGATTTAGGATAAATATCACAGTACTTCATTATTTATACAGGAAGCAACCAACATGCAGACCTTGCCTGGGAGTTACCTATCTGTCTGTTCCTATTAGAGAAGCCACCAAAAGAGTCTATTTGCTGCCGTGTACCAAACACATTCTGCACGTTCAGTTCTTATTAATGCCAATCCTCCAAGTTCCTTAGGCCACAGAGGAAGACCATTTTTCTTGGTTGTTTGCTGTGGGCCAGATGCATTCTCCTTTGGAACTGAAGCATGAGTGTGTCTCTATCCTTCTGATTTATAACACAGAAAGCAGAATTTGTTCTCTAGTGTTTAAGATGTAAATGGCAAATCTTAAGGTTTTAAAGTTACTTTTATTTGTTTCTGTGTTGTTCTGTTGGAGTTTTCATGGAATTTGGTTAATTATATTTATTCTCCAGTCAGTGGTTCTTGGTAAAATTGTTCTTTTTCTGCTGTCCCTCCTACATAAAGATAAGTCCTGATATCTTTCAGGTGAGATTAGGGAGACTGATTTCCTTTACGAGGACAAGGAGCTGGGGAGTGGCCTTCAGTGTCAGCATAGACTTCACCTTGAAAATTCACCTCCTCTTCTCAGATGAGTCAAACACAAGATGGGTAAGGATCCCAAGTCATTTAGGCTCTGCCATTACCCTCATATTGAGAAATGTTAGGCACAAGACACAGAAAAAATGTTGATACTGTTTCAAACGAACATATAGATGGCTCTGGTGAACCCAAAATCTATGTACCTCACATGACAATCTCTATGGAATTATTTCAATATTAAGAATTCACATGTCATTAAAATACCAGTCTCATGCAGATATTGAAATGTCCTTACCATGCCTTGTGTAATTTCCAGTGTTTGTCATGATTGAAACAACGTGCAACCATGAGGAGAAACAAGGAACCTCATGATTTTTTTCTTTTTCTTTTCATGTCATTGTCATCAATCACTGCTTAGTCTCATGAGACTAAGACAAGTGTCCCTCCTACCAATCTTACTACCTGGACAGTTGATTAGACTGGGACATGATTCTGTGTTCTAAGTGTGATATTTCATAGGAAGAGATT